GTAAATAGTAGGCCAACTTTTTTCTGTGCAGTATCTGGTGGCTTATTTATATTACACCTACCTATTGAAATAGCATTGGTTTTCAAACTAGCATTGAAAACTCCCTGCAATTCCTTTTTCAGTCTTCCCCCTCACACTTGGCGATATTTGGAGTCTTTGGTTTTGCGTAATAACTGCTGGAACCATGTGAATCTGATGTGCCTTTTCTTTAAAAGCTTTTAGTTCTCATATTAGTGTGTTCAACGCTTTTAATTTGAGTTTTGGAGGCTAAAATCTGACAGATTAAGTTCAGTATTAGTCTCTTGAAATGAAGCATATAGTGCTATGTGCAAGTACCGTGATATGCTGAAATTCATTCCATTCTTCATTTCATATGCTTGAGTCTGATAATGTGACTGCAAGTGTCTTGCAAGGAAGCAGTGCTATTATCCTGTTCTTACGTTAAAATGGCAGGTTTCCCTGTGCCCTGACTGTTGTGTGGGAAAGGGCTACATGCTGCTGCTTTGCATTTCATAGCATTAAGCTTATAACATCAGAAGCCTCCTCAACACTCTTTGATCCAGAAAGCACGTATGCTTGGCTGAGCTTCTGGGTAACTTGTCCTCCAAAGAAGCTACTGCCCTCTTTCTTCATAAGATTGAGGAGAGGTATAGCAGATACAGTTTTGCTGAACTTCTGTTCTAGCAACATAAAGCATGAGCTCTTACCATGGGTAAATTTGTAGGGAAGGAATATTTTTTGTGGGCTAAAATGGTCTTTTAAACCAGTGTTCAATTTGCTGTGTTAAGTTATAGTAAATGCAAAAATAAACAACCTAAAGCAGTTACTTTTACACTCTGGCAACCAGATAAACTGACTGTTGGTGTCCTGTTACGTGACAGAAAGCTAGCAGTGGGAATAATGGGTGGCTGTTTCCCTGCAACCTGATGATACGGAGTTTGAAAAGGTCCGAACACTGCCCCATTTAGCTGTGAGGTCTCTTTATGAAATGTAGTGTCCTTTGCTTTCATTGTTGTAGCCCTATCAGATCTCTGCTCCAGTGGCTTGTACGCTTACGCAATGGCTGTTGTTGTTACAGTAGAATGATGCTTTGAGATGGTGTGTGCACTGTAGTCTTACTGTACCAGCACTGAAATGTTTCAGGGACAAAATAAAATCCAGTGTTCTCTTTGGGAGAGGTGCACTTAGTACCCCTTAGGATATTCTTACTACGCAGAGCTGGTTTGTGCTAGTAAGAGATTGAGAACAAGTATTTTTCTTTCAGTTGCATTGGCAACTAGGAAATAATGTACATAATTTTGTGTCTGTTCCAAAAAGACATTGTTGAAGGGCTCTGAAAAAAAATAGGCCATCAAGGCTGGATGTTTGCTTGATCAGCCTGAATGTCTGGAAGAACTGGATTACTTATGTGACACTGAGGGAGCACTGAACTCTGTGTGGTGCTTGCCTTAGGGACAATTCAGGACTCTGCATGCAAGTATTACCTGCTGGCTAGCTAAAATTTGAGATCAGCTAGAGTCTTAAAGATGTCTATAGGAAAATCTTAGTTCAGTTGTTCACTTGATGATTAGCCTGCTGTGCTCCATAGAAGTACACTAGAAATTAGAGCCAAAACCAGAACTCACATCTCTATAAATGAGGTCTGAGCACTTGCCAGGTGGAGGCCCAGTGGGTTTTGTGTATGTGCTAGAGTCGGGTTTGATTCTTGCTCTTGCAGCTCATGCATGCTGTGTCCCACGTGTGTGTTAGTCTTCATACAGCCCATGCTAGAAGCCAGGCTACATAATTGAAAAGGAAAGGATGAGCATGCTCAGAATGGTAGGTAGCTCTTGTCACATTTCAGTATGTATGTCAATACTCTTATGGGTTGCTTGTTTTATTTTATTAGCATTTCTGGAGCAATTACTGTCAGGCTACAGCACAGTTTAACCCTAACAAAAATATAAAGGCAAGCCAGTGATTCCCTTTCCCTTTGCATTCTCTTGCCAATGAATTCAAGTATGATAGTGATACATAGGTGGTCTGTTATTGCCCAGTCAGAAAGGTGAAATGGTTTGAGATAATTGATGTGTCACTTTATAACTGGGTTACTGAGCTAGGTGCTTTAGTGCCTTCCGTTCCAGGTTGGTCAGTACTATTCTGATTTGAACATAACTGGATGAGAAGTGCTGCTCACACTGTTCCAAGGGGGCTGGGAGGATATATAGAGTTAATGTAGAAATCTTATTCAGCATTTTTTCCTTAAGCATGATAGCAACTGGTGATTGGGGAAAAAAAAAATTCTATTGATCATTTCCCCCCCGCCCTCTCCTCCCCCCCCAAGTGCTCTATAATGTCATCTAGCTCCCTTAGGGGTTCAGATAAAAGCAATGAGAAAGAAAGATCTAAGTTGGAAAAGCTCAAAGCAGCATTGTTTCCAACATTAAGTCAGGTTGGCTGCAGCTCTGTCTAGTTGAGTCTTGAAAATCTCCAAGGACGGAGATTGCATAGCCCCTGAGTGACCTGTTCCAGAGCTGCTCCGCTCTCCTGGCACACGAACTCCTGGCATAAGGGACAGGTTGTTTTGGATCTCTGGCTCGCACCAGCCTGCAATTTCTAGTTTCCAGTGTAGTCATCTGATCAAGTCCCTTTGCCCCCAGCTGCAGTGCCTGGGCTATAGCAGTCCTAGGGATTTGATTTTTATCGTTGGTGTGTTAAGTCTTGTTTGTCTTGAATTTTGAAGAGCGGCCGGCAGGCATTTTATTTTGCAAAATGCTATGTGCTAAGCACAAATTTCTGAGTAATTAAATTATGTTGACTTCAGCACAAATGAGGACAGTTTGATAGAAAATTCTACCACTTAAGAACAGGACAGTGCATTTTAGTGTGTCGATCAGATTACTTTCTAGGGTTCAAGAGCTTTCCTTCCCCAATTGTAAAATACAAATACTTGCTGCCTATTTGGTCTAGAAATAGTCAATACGCGGAAGCATTCTGTTTCTCTGTACCTTATTTTGAAATCCTTTCTTGTGTATCGTTGTACTCTTTCTCCTGCTGTTGGTCTAATGCAAAAGATATGAAACAGCATCTTGAAGTAATCATAAGAACATGAAATTGCTAAATATTGGGGCATTTCCTAGACCCAGGCACCTTTTGTGGGATTGCCTTCTTTGATATGAGAAGGTGGGTGATACTAGTTCTAAAAATCTGGCCCAGATTAGAGCTAATTGTCAGTCATTCTCTGAAGAACATTGAGTGCAAAGAAGTAACTCCTGTACTCGTCCCTCGCTTTAATTGTTACTAAAGGACAAAAGCTGGATGCCCAGCATCGTGATCAGGCCAAAAATTTGTATTTAAAAGGAGAGAAGCAAATGCTGAGGGTGAGGATGCTTTGTGCCTGCTGTGTCCTGTGCTGCATGTGTACTTCCTGGCTTGCCCAGCAGTTGAGAGAGCTTCTGTGGGAGACAGAGGGGTCACGTCCTGGACTGCCTGTGAAGTTCCCAAGGGATGTGCAGTGTAGCTGAGGGGAGCAGTAGAGCTCTGCATGGCTTTGTGGTGCTCCCTCCCGGTAAACCTTGTGACAGTTAAAATGGGTTTGTGCATCATCTGCTCGAACAATTTAGCCTCGTTAAATAGTTACCTCTGAAACTTGTGTATCTGCTGAAAAAGGTTCTCAAAATTAACTGATGAGCTCAGAAGAAGACAGGACCTGACTGTAAGGAAGAAGCTGGTTTTTATAGACTATCCAGGAGGTGAGCCATGACCCTGGACTTACTAGTAGAGTCTAACTTATGTGTGCATAGTCTGAGGAGATCAGCTACGTCCACACATCATGGTGTGTGGTTCACATTTGCCCCCAGGCTCCAAGACACAAAGAAGTCCAACAAAATACAAGTGAGCTCAAAGTTTCTGAAAGAACAAGAGCTACATTTACAGTTTTTATTTTAATATAATAATGGTGGCACACGGTTTTGTTGGTGTGAATGATGCAGGAAGGTGCAGAGCCTCTTGTGTTGGCGAGCTCTGTGTGGCACAGAGCAGCAAAGCTGGTGCAGCCTGCCATAGTGTTACGTGCTTGGACCAGGCTTGGGAGTAAATGATCCAATCTGCTTCACTTGGATTTTCTTGAGAGAAGTCACCGCATTGCTGCTGGCTTTTCCTTCTGAAGTGAGCTAGCCTTTTTGCTTTGTGGCTGGTGAGGGGATTGGGGCTGGGAGTGAAACGAGGAGCTACTCAAATGTGGCATAGCTGCCATTGTGGTGTAAAGGGTCTATACATAAAGCATAAGCCCAGCATTGCTCTAATGATTATTTGAGAAGCAGTGGAGCTGCTGTGTCTTAACCCTGGGTTTTATTACTTGGCATCATTTGGGTGCTGCTTTGTTTCACTGTCTCTTGTAGCGTATTTCTTATACTTCATATGTGGGTTCCTTTTCATGAGGGCCACCATTTGATGGGGTTGATGTAATACTGAACACAGTGAGAGTCAGTTTGCTGATTAGGACTTGTAGATACAGCAGTGAAAAATCGTAGCTTACAGCAACATGTAATATCTTTCTTTGATGCTGCTTCAGTTTAGGGAATTGATATCTGGGAACTTGATCAGGCTCTGTGACCTACACTTGGATACTTAACCCTCTCTTTGTTGACTTATTCTGCCTGAGAGCCAGCCCTTCATCCTTTTTGCCCTTATTGTCCTCACACTGAAATGAGAGGGTCATACTATATCGTAGGTGTCTTTGAAGGGTCCATTTAAATACCATAGAGTTAATGCAGTGGTGGCTGTTGCACGCATACTTAACATAAATGCATTGGGACAGGTGGTGAAGGGAGACGTTTTCAGCCTCTCTTGATCTGCAGCCTTTATGCCTGCCTAGCCCTTGAGAAAAAATAAAAAAGTTTGCCTTAAGAAAACCAGAAGTGTGTAACTGAGCTGAGGACACTTGTGCAATGATGAATTTTACATTTCTGACAATATATGAAGTTAAATAATGAATTACAAATGTTGCTTTGTCTTTTCAGTACATCAACTGTGGTAACCTGGAACAGCTGTTAGATGGTAACCAACATCTGCCCTGGACAGTGAGGGTGAAGCTGGCGTATGACATTGCCATGGGAATCAGTTATCTTCACTATAAAGGCATTTTCCACCGAGACCTTACATCCAAGGTACCATTTATAAAATGAAGGGAACGTTTTAATGAAGGTGCTGTAACTGGTTGGTTGGTTCTTCCTCCTCCTTCCAGCACAGAACTGCTATTATATAAGGTGCGATCTAAGACATTTTGAGAAAAAAATTAAAATACAGTGTATAGGATGAAAACTTTCTTCACAATGTATTGAAATGAGTTCAGATCAGGATTTCTCAGAAAGCAGAGGCCGAGTTTTTAGTTCTGAATTATGGTTCAGTAAAGTATTTAAATCCTGGGATAATTAAGCATAACAATCTAACATCTGGAACAGGTCAATCATATAAAGAACCCAAATTGAAGAGATTATTACAAATGCACATTAAAATCTCCTTGTTTTTGTTTCCTCATGTATTTTACAAATCTACTTCAGCAGAACCCTTTATTACTAATTCAGCATTAAATGTTGTCCACAATCCTGGTTTGTATTTCTCTCATTTCTGAAGTCAGTAATATCAAATAACTTTACCTAATATTTTAAAATTTCAAATTTTTTTCCAGAACCGTATTTCAGTGGCAGAGTTTTCAATGGACATAGATTTGTTGGAGCTGTTTTGGTAACAACTTGTATGAATTTAGTTGGCTGAAGTAGCCAGCTAATTGAAGCTCAGCTAGAAATACTGACATAGTAGCACTAAGCTCTGTGAACAAATTGCCCCAGTATTCACTCTGGGTCTTGCCATCCGTTACAGCCTGTGCTGAGGGCTTTGCTGTCCTGTCTGTCCTGTTGTCTGGAGCTAATGAGCTAGTTTAAGCTCACTGGGGACTTGCAACGTGAAAGTACTACAAAACTGTTCTTGGGAAGATTTCATAATGTCACTTAAATCAAAAGCATCCAGAAGAACATTATCTGAGCCTAAAAGGAACTATTTTTTAAGATGGGAACAGCTTTTAAAAATAAAAACACAGCACTGTGTGTGTGCAAATATGAGTAACTAATAGTCTTCCATTCAGTTTTAGGTTTTTTAAAGCTACCTCACTGCAGTATTAAGCAGATAAAGAATATGCATTTAGCCAAGGGGAAAAAAAAATTACTTCAACTGGTGGGTGATAGAAGTATTTCACTGAAGTCATAAAACACTTCCTTAGGTGTCCTTTCGAGTGAAAGATGCTGAATTCTGCAAGGAAGAATATCAAATTTATGAAAATGCCCAGACTTGGAGTCATGTCGCTTTGACATGACACACCTGGAAAACTCCTTTTCAGTCACCTTGGAGGGTGCATATGAGAGATGTGTAAAAATAACTGAAAAAAACCTTGGTATTCCCTCCCTCCCTTTTTTTTTCTCCCCAGTTCAGGATATGTTTTAGTACATTTAAGAGTGGGGAAATAGAATTACCACAGGGAACCAGAGTAACTAAGGAGAACTCTGTGCCTACAGCATTTATCATAAACACGTACTGTGATGGCTAGTCGTATGAAAATCTATTTCCTGAGACCTCTGAATGCCTTTGTTCAAAGCTTTACATAATTGTGTGTCATTCTCTGGAGCTGCCCTGCCAGTGCTTCAGTGTTATCTATTGTTGAACGTCAATTGTTCAGAAAACGCACCCGCTGGGAGGAGTGCACGATTTCACTGCAACAGCAAACTCATCAGTGGCCACAGGAGGTAGTAAGGATTGTTTTTAAAAAACCCCAACATTAAACCAAACCATAAGAATTTCTTAGCAGTTACGCTATATTTGGATGGTTCTTAGCACTAGAGGTATAGTATCTATGTGGGACACATTGGAAGGTGTCAGGATGAAATTTTAAGTCATCAGCTGTATTCTGTATTTTCCAGTTTCGTGGGGGTTTTGGGTTGGGTTTATTTATTTAGGTGATTTATGCACTTGCTTGTTCTGTTTGGGAAGGGAAGTAGATGCAACACCTGGCCTTAAATGCGCCTGAATTTGATTAGTGTATTATTGCAGTGATGAAATATACTTTAAAATTAAATCTGTTGGGCAAGCAACTCTCCTTTTTGGCAAATGTTTGCCCTGCTGACTGGCTAAGTTTTATACAAGTCACTTTTTTCCAAAGCAAAAAAATTAAGATGATAACCATAGCAAAAACCAGTCACTGAAATGTTCAACTTTTAAGTGTGGCTTTTGGGTACTGCTTGAGGAGATGCCTTGTATTTTACTGGGTTTGTAGTGCTGGTGGGATGAGTTGTCTTCATTCTTACTAGTGAATAGCTAATGTGTGAGTGAGCTGAAGGAAGATGTGATGGGCTCTTCCTTGGGAAAGAACGTGTGATCTGGACTGGGTAGGGGCAGATTCAATACTGTTGTATATTGTCCTTCTTTCTTTGGTAAGCTTCAGTAATTGATGTGATGGCTTTATTAATCGACTGAAAGCAAAGACAAGGATTTAGACATCTGCAAAAGTCAGGACAGACACAGAGTTTGCTGGGGAATTGTTTCTTTAGAAAACTTGCTGGCCTTGACTGAACTATGAGCAGAATGAAACTGAGGCTTTCTGTGCAGGAATGTCTCCATGCTTTACCTGTTACACTTAACACAATAGCCCACTGCAAATTATAGCCCACTCTAATATGAGTTTTACTATTAAAATTATTTGGGATTGATTTGGACCCATACTTCTGCCTTTCTTCTTCTGTTTCTAGCAAACCTCTAATTCCTGCAGCCTCGTGGAGCAGGTGGCATGAATACAGAAATTTTATTGTGTCAGTTGTGGCAGCAGAGTTGTCTTGCTCTGACAGTAGCATTATATGTGTCTATATACTGGCTGCATAAAAACTTAGGGAAGGAAAAGTTCCTGTCTCCTGCCAGTCTAAGATTGAAAAATAAGTGGTTTTGACAATTAGTGTACAGCAGGGTGATCTCTCTTCCTAATTGCACCATGTGGAGAGTGGCAGAACAGCGTTGATAGTGCAGAAAGCCAGAGGGAAGAACGGTAGCGAAGAGTAGATGTAGGTCATGGCAGTCGATGTGGCAGCCCACAGGGATGCCAGGCCTGACATCCCACTGGTGCCCTTCCCACTGCCCTTCTGTCAAAGACAGAGGCAGTGCTTGTTGGAAGGGAGTGTGCTGGCCAGACAGCCGGCGCTTACCCACGTTGTGAGCAGCTCAGTCCTTGGGCTCTGGGCTTGGGCTGCTGCAGCTGATCAGGCTCATCTGCCCTGATCAACAGCAACAGCCGAACGTGAATCTGTCAGAAGGTGAGAGAGGTTGGGTTGGCTGTTTCCAGCCTGCAGATAGTAGGTGTGTGAGCAGGGTGACTTGTACATTTGGTAAGACAATAAATGTGGTGTCCTCACTTTTGACTCATCATGAAGAGATTTATGTGGAGATTAAGCCATAGATAGGTTATGACCACCAGCCTCATTGCTTCATTCCCTGTCCTCTCTTCATATCACTGAAAGCCCTGTGAATAACTTTTTATCTGGGGCTTTGTTGTAATTTGTACAAGGAGGATTGGCATCCTGGAATCATGAGAATTTTCTTTGTCTTTTAGTGATTGCCAAGGAGGTCCGGTTATGAATTTTAACTCTGACAGTCTCAGTCATAGAAGATGCAGTCATTAAACCAGCAATCGCGATGTGAAACATTGGAAGTGGATTGTGATAAAGTTTTTCTTAATCTGACTTGTTTTGGCAACATTCTGCCTGTTGTTACCTACAATTAAAACAATGATGTTTGGAAAAGCACAGGGAAGAAGTGTTCAGCCTGCAAAAATAATATAGCAAAATTCTTTTGTACCTCACCCCTCAAAACAAATATCCTACTACTACACAGAGAGCTCCTTCAACACCTTGTTTACACTGTATTTGCATTCAAACCCTGCTCTGAGCACTATTGATTTCCTTGGCAGCATACATCAGGGACTGCCCTAATATCAATGAATTTATTCTTACAATGTCTCTGAGATGAGGGAGATGAATAAACTCTGCCTTATCAGAACAGATTAAAAGCAAGAATACTGGTTAATATTTGGTATGTTTTTTAAGACTTTGGAGTATTTGGCACTTTACACGTGTTTCAGTTCAAGGCCGTACGCTCACTGACCTCGGGGGCAGTTGGAAGCGTTACAGCACTTGTAAAACAGTCGGGTTTGACCCCTGGAGGCAGAGAAAGCACCAGATTAGCAACAGTCTCTAAAAGATTTTGTTAGACTATCTTCCTTGTCACAGAATCCTCCTGTGATGCTGAGGAAGGCCAGAATCCAGATCCTGGGCAACATTACAATAGTCTTAACCACAAGACACAAGACCTTCATTTCCAGCCCAGCCTGCCTTTTTCATCTCTTCCCAGCCTTTCTTTCACCCTACTGTTTCTGTGGCAAGAGTGGCCCGAGTCCTGAAAATAGTGGTCCAAGTGTTTTGTGTACAGCCCCAATTCACTGTCAGTGTGAATCCGTTGCATGCACTGAAAGACATGGGTGCCAGGTGGCAAACTGTCTGTTTGATCATGTCATTAAAGAGTTTACCTTAATATGTATTCACAGGGGGAAGAATAACTGTTCTCGCAGGAAGTTTTACATCCCATCTTTTGCACAATGTTATTTTTTTGATGTAGTGTATGTTGTGTGCAACTTCCTACCAATTTAAAAAAAAAAAAGGAAAAAACGCTGGAATTATGAACTTCATTTGCAGGGTTAGAAGCTTGAATTTGATGGCAGAGGTGTCTGCTGCTTTAGTTAATACAGTAACTAATTTAATTAGTATCATTACTGTTAATTGGTATTACTAATACACATAGCCTGTTTTTGCTGTGAAGCAGGAATAGACAGAGGAACCAGAAAGACTCCTTGGCAGTGAGAAGTGAACGTCTAGGAGTCTGCCCATTTTTCCAAGATCGATCATACTTGCTCTGTGACTCTCCAGTCCTTTCTGCTAGCATACAATGCCAGCCAATGGTCAGGCTTTTCCTCCTTCCTCCGAGGCTTTTCCTCTTCTTTTCACTCCCAGTTCTTGTCCCCCAACCTTATTATTCAATCTCCTTGTCTGTCTGACTGCAGTTACCCTCTTCCTATTAC